CCTGGCTTCTTTGCGGGAGGGGTCTACTTGCCTGCCTGTGTGTTGTCTTTTCTGCCCCGGGACTCAAGATTGGCTGAACCAAGGCTGGCATGCAGATGAGATAATGCATTGCGGCACGTGAAACTGTGCCACTGGGTCACTGTAATCTGTTGAAATAAGACCGGAAATCCCTGATAGCCTATAGGTATGCTAGTCTGCTGCAGCCTGACAGATCTTCGTGGGATCCGAGGGGATAAATAAAGGCTAAAACCTAACTATTATTTTAAGAACAGAGAGCCGAGACCCTTACCTGCTTCCAAAGAAAAAAGAAGGAGCCGCCGAGCCCAACCGGAGCCGAGCTTGGATTAATTAGTACAGCGTATGAGCCCCACCTCTGACCAGCCAAACCAAGGACAGTATAGCACAGCGCCGAGCCCAGCCGACCGCGCCCGGAACCGCCGCCCCGAAGGAGCTGTCGCGCTGAGAAAGCTGGGAGTGGAGCCGGGGAGCGCCCGAGCGCTGCCGCACACGTGGTGCTTGCCTGCTGCCCTCCAGCCCAGGAGTTGTCACTACTGCTACTTTCTGCTACCTTCAATGCCTCAGGAGTGTTAAGAACCCCATCCACAAATCTTCCCTGCTTTCCTATCTCTATAGAGTTAATTCTCCATTCTCACATGCACAACGGCGACCCCAACGGGGGGGAACTGCAACGCACGCTAAATAAACCTCCCTTTATCATAACAATCCTCTTCCTATCCTTTGCACCCTACAAGTGGCTTGTATTATAGTTACATATTTGTACACCTCTGTTTTGTTCATAAAATATCAGCACCTATAAACCCCTCACTCAGTGTCCTCATTCCCTTTTTGAGCAGAAGTGCATACTACCCGTGGGGGGTGGTTTGGGATCTCATAACACCATATTGGATTCTTTCTCTGATTCCAGGCAGGCTATTAACTCTTTTTGAGTTGCAGCTTCTGCTGACAGTTGCAGCCTCCTTATCTTCCAGTTTGTGCTTCTTGTGCACCTGCTCTCTGGCAGAGCATGGGAAACAAAAATTTCTAGACTTAGGATAAACATTACTTAGCAACAACTAAAACATTAGTGTATTAGCAACATTATTTCCATACCAAATCCAAAACACAGCACTATACCAGCCACTAGGAAGAAAATTATCCCATTCAAAGGCATATCTAGGTAAAACCTTGTGGCCTAAGGCTTCAGCAAATCTAGCTACTCATGCTAATGTATTAGGGAAGTAAAGACTCCAAGCCAATCGGAGTTATGAAACAGAAATTTATTAATTACAGCAAGCAAAAATAGCAAGGTAACAGCGCTGGGTGCCAGGGAGTAATCTCTCCTCCTCTGGACGCTTTTCCTCTTTCATGTGTCTTCTTTAATAGTCTTTCGTGGTGTACTCTGCGCCTGTGTAATCTCAAGTTTTACATATCAAAGTCCAGAAGCATGCAGTTCTTAGGCCTGTTCCTGAAACAAAAGTTCGTTAGCACATCCAGTTGAATAAACAACTTCGGTCTCCTGGAATGTGTTATCAACTTAACACGTATTGTTCTAGTTGCCCAGCACAAAGGCTCATGTCTAGCTAGATACACAGTACACAATACAACGGCTAGGTGAACAAACTTTACACATAACAATTTCCCCCCTTTTTCTCTTGGTACTAATTAGTTTGTTCACTATATTTTTGTAACTCCATTTTACTCCATTCTAGATCAGTATCGGTTAAAGGCTGATATTGAGCTCGTATTAGCATTAAATGGGCGGCTTCAAGGCGTCCTTTAACAATAGCTATAAGCCTGTTGAATATACAAGGTCCAAAGGTTAAAGCAACTACAAGCAATATCAAAGGTCCTGCTCCTGGATCAAAGCCTAATGCAATTGTTTCACATCCTCAATAAGCACAATAATAATGACCAGGCAAATTACAATAGGTTCTACCCTGATTAGCACTTGGACACATATAAAACCCTGATCGATTGGAACACGGTTGTATATAAGCTAGGTCACAGAGTGACGTTTGGAATGTGGGTGCTCCAGGGGTGGTGATATTTCCAATTGTCTGGTGATCTTCTCATCTTCTTAATGTCCACCTAAAGTGTTGATGGGTACTAATGGCATCGCTTAGACTATTCAAGCTATATACAACCAATATCCAAATTATTTTGATGACCTGGTAGTTTTCCCAAAACTGATAACAGTCCATATTTTAACTGGTCTTTGTCCATATTTTAACTGGTCTTTTGTGGTGGGAGGTTTCTTGTTTATCTAGTGTTAAATATTACTTTTATGGGATGAGGCTTTGAAATCTCTGTCTCCACTCGTCGACCTGGTTGCAACAGGCCACGGGGTATAGAAATCTTCTCGACAGCAGATTATAAGGCCTTCCAATCCCAACTTATTATGTTTGACCTTGTCAAACTAGTGAGAACTCCTAGATAAAGAAGGAAACCTCTGTGCATAAATAACAAGTTCAGCACAACATTCGATAAGCCAATTTTAAATGACTGTTATCGTAATGGGTCCGCTACTTATTTTACCGAGACTTTGTTAGTTTCACTTTTAAATCTCCTGGATTGCTGGTGACCTTCCACTCCTTCCCGCTAGGTGGGTGTATTGGTCCCTTTTATTCGACTAGCATGAGTCCATCCCCGTTCTGCTGTCCGGACTGCTGAATGAGTGGTAAGCAATACCAGGAACGGTCCTTCCCACCGGGGTTGCAGA